GATAGTACAATGTTGGGTATGCAGGGTAGTTTGATCTTAGTAGGATAATAGGTCAGCACAACATCGTGGGCTGAAGGGCCTGTACTGTGCTGTACTGTCCTATGTTCTGTGTAGATGCAAGAAAGCACAACAACGCTTCTTCTTCCTCAGGCAGCATAGGAAATTCAGCATGTCCAAAAGGACCCTCTCCAACCTTTACAGATGCACCATAAAAAGCACTCTGTCTGGGTGCATAAGGGCTTGGTATGTCAACTGCTCTGCTGAGGACCGTTAAGAAACTACAGAAAGTTTTGTGCATAGCCCAGACCATTACGGAAGCCAACCTCCCATCCATGGACTCCATTTACACTTCTCGTTGCCGCAGAAAGGCTCCCAACATCAAAGACCCCTCCCACCCCAGCAATGCTCTCCTACAACCTCTTCCATGAGGCAGAAGATACAGAAGCTTAAGCATACACACCAACAGGTTTAAGATCAGGTTGAAGAACAGCTTCTTCCCTGCCCTTTCTAGGCTGCTGAATGGACCTTGCTAACTTCAAGTAATGTTGATCTTGCTAATGTTGATGCATACCTCCTGTAACCTTGTAGGCCTCGCTCTGTCTAAGCACCCTGTGATCTGTACGTCCTTGTTTGCTATGATCTGCCTGTACTGCTCGCAAAACAGAGCTTTTCACTGTACTTAGGCACGTGTGACAACAATGAATCAAGTCAAATCAAGCCCTGTCTGGAGGTGACATCACTCTCTGGCTTGGACAGTACATGTTTTGCCTGTTTCAGTAGTCTTGTCTGGGGTGGACCCTCTTGACTACAAGTGCGAAATGGACACTCTTGCTCCTTGCTGGAGAAACTTCCTGCCTGGTTCTGGAACCTTGTGGTGCCTGACTCCTATCACCTTTCTCTGGCAACCAATGGGAGCTGTGAGTACTATCTGCTGGAAACTTGGCTCTGCAGTGTGGGGCTAGTCAAAGGCTGAGGATGGTACTGCCTATGGACTCCTGAATCTCCTGAGCCTCTTTTTTTTGTGTCTTCATGGGAAAGGGCCAGTTCTATGGCTTTCTTGAGATCCTGCTATGGTTTGGTCAGTAGTTTTCTTTGGGTCACAGAATTGTTAATTCCACAAACCTTAACATTTCCCAAAGGGCTGATCTGTACTCACTCTGTTTCACCAATTTCAGCAGTCTTGTCAAGAACTCAGTAAATGGTTCCTCAGGAAGTTTATTTACTATGTTAAACCTTTAACCCTGCAATTTAACAGATGGTTTGGAGTTGTAGTGGTCTGCAACCGTACTTATCAATTTATCAAAGGAAACAAAACAAGGAACTGTGGATGCTGAAGGTCTGAAAGAAAAACGGAAAACACTGGAGAAGCTCACCAGGTCTGGCAGCATCTGTGCAAAATAAGCAGAGTCGGCTTTTCGATTCTGGTAACTCTTAATCTGGTGAGTATTCTGATGAAGTCACCAGACTCAAAACATCAACTCTGATTTCTTCCCACGTTTCTCCAGCAATTTTTGTTTTAGTTCACCAAAGGATTTTGACCCCACGGTTGCTGGTAAGACTAAACTCTTTATGATGCTGAAAGTCAGTGGCCAGGGGAATGACGTTTTGTCAATGATCCCCTCGTATCCCGTTTGCCTGAAAAAAGTATCTTATTCTTTTGGCGTACTGGGGCTAATCCTCCACACCATCACCGTAATATCCAATTTCCCAAACAACTGCATTTCCGGGTTCATTGAAAGGCAAGGCTGTCTGAAACTTTACTTTCAGTGCCCACATAATATCTCAAGAAGCCTGACTGGAAAGGAGTACCATTTATTGTTGAACACCAAAATAGAGCCATTACTCATGGCATACATAGACTAGTCCAAGTCTGGGAAAGACAGTTCTGCAGACCCATCTCTGGATCTCAGATTCCCCACGGACCTCAAAGGAGTCATCACAAAAGGAAAGTTGAGCAGTTCTGAGACTGAAACCACCATGAGATGTCTGGTTTATTTTTTAATCCCACAGTTTAACCAGAGGGTGTAATTCTTTGATATACTGTTAATTGAGACCCAAGGGATATGCTCTTGTAATACGTGCATTGTTCAGTTTGGTTGAGAATGTTCATTTGAACACCAAGTGTTTATAACCTGTTTCTTTTTTCACACTAATTGATCATTGAAAATTAAAATTAATTAGATTCAAAGTTAAAAGTTTCCAATTAAATGGTTTTTATGCAGGAGTTCTTTGTGTAACAGTCTATGTCTTGTAAACAGAGTGAAAACCTTCACACAAATGTTTTGCTTGAAAAGAGAGGAGAGGGGCTTCAGATGTTAGGGGAGACCTAACCAGCCACATAGAGGCAGGTATTGAATATATCATTTAGGGCTGGACTCTGTGCCGTACAGGCTGTTCCCTGGATGCACACCAAGGATCAACTGCAACTGGAGAACCATGAACTCAGTAAAACATGCTCTTTGCTCTGCCCAAAACTTGGTCTTCCAATGTAAAGAGTTGACCTCAACCGAGTGTTGCAGACTGGCACGTTCCAAGGTTCAGGACTACATGCTGAGGGATACACTAAGAATTAGAATTAGATTTATTGTCACATGTACTTGAGTACAAAGTACAGGAGTACAATGAGATGTGTACAATCTCACCACACAAGGTGCCATCTTAGGTGCAAAGTACCTAGGTACAAAAATAGAGAAATACAGAGGAAAGCTAAAAGTTCTACATTACAGTTCTTCATAGTATAAATTAGGAATGTAAAGAAATAAAGTTAAACGTTACAGTCCTTCTGTAGCCTACAGTCTCTCCACTTTGTGGGCTTTCCATATGTGGTCTCACGCTCTCTGCACTGCCAAGATTGAGGTCTGTGACAGGCTGACTGCACTGGGTCCCAGTCTGCCAGCCAACCCCTCTGGGTTCCCAGCCTGCTGGCGGCTCCTCTCCGGCCCGTCGATCATTGGCCATCCCGCCCTACCCCAGCCTGTCGACTGCTGGCTACTCTGCTCCACACCGGGCCCTCAGCTGCAGCAGCACCACCGCTGTCTTCATGAGACAAGGTAGGTTAAAAATAACTAAGAAAATTTTTTTTGAAAAAGGGGAGAAAAGAGAAGTGGACAGAAAGGACATGAGCCCCAGGCTGAGCCCAGACACTGCCTGTGCTGCTGCCGCCATCTTGAAAATGAAAAAAAAACTGGGAGCAGCTGCTGCTAAGGTACAGTGGAGAAAGACAACTGTCTGAGGTTTTTCTCATTTGAAAAGATAGTTGTGAAATCAAAGTGGCTAGGAGATGCTAGGTTCTCTATGTGTCAGTATGCTCTAATAGGTACAACTATTAACGTGCACATCTGTCTGCTAGAAGAGCAGTCTGCAGACTGATATTAAAAAGCAACACTAAACACTTACAAGCTTGTCCCTGAAGCTTATCAATTCAAATTTAGGACTATAAGAACGAAACCTAATCAAATATCTATAGAACATGTGGCAGAAGAGGAAAAAGAAAGTGTTAAATTTAAATCTGAGATAGATCATACCTTTGCTTAACAAAAAAAATTAAGGAATATGGGCCAAAGACAGGTATATGCAGTTAGGCTATGGATCAACTGTGATCTCAATGAATGGCAGGCCTAAGGGGCTAAATGGCCTACTCCTGTTCCTATATTCTTGTGTAAATGTAATGGATTCAATATTCAATCACTGATACTGGTGAAAGGATTTGAGAATGTGAGGGAAATCATGATTAAGGAAAACTTGCAAAATAGTATTCCAGTTATGACTTAGTTACATCTTCATATGATCTAGTATTGAGTATTGAGGACAGTGGCTCTGTGGTTAACTTGCTGCCTCATAGCACTCGGGTCATAGATTCAATTCCACCCTCAGGCAACTGTCTGTGGAGTTTGCACATTCTTCCCGCGTCTACGTGGGTTTCCTCCGGGTGCTCTGGTTTCCTCCCATAGTCCAAAGATGTGCAGGTTAGGGTGGATTGGCCATGGGAAATTGCTGATAGCGTCTAGGGATGTGCAGGCCAGGTGGATTAGCCCTGGGTAATGCACAGTTATAGGGTAGGGGAGTGGGATGCTCTTCAGAGTGTCAGTGAGGACTTGATGTGCCAAATGGCCTGCTTCAACACTAGGAATTCTATCATGAAGTAATGTGGCATCAAGCCCATCATTTTAAGTGCACCAATACCCATGTTTACATTATTTCCACTTAAATGTTTTCATCAGGATGATCATCCCAGCAGCTCAGGCCTGGTTTAGCAAGCAGCACCCACTTGTCTAGATATGTGCCAACAAAACTCAAGAAGCTCAACAGAATTCAGGCCAAAGCAGTCCCAGGTCAACCTCCACCCCACACCTTAAACATCCACTCCATCCACCACTGAAGCTCAGTAGCAGCAGTGTACCATCTACAAGATGCACAACAGCACCTTCCAAATCCGTGATCTCTACCATCGAGAAAGACAAGGGGCAGCAGACATATAGAGACATTATCACCCTGCAAGTTCCCCTCCAAACCACACACTTGGAAATATGTCGGCATTGCTTTGGTGTCGCTGGGTCAAAGTCTTTGAATTTCCTCCCCAGTAACGTTGGGGTTACCTACACAACACAGATTGCACTGCAATCTTCTCAAGGGGCGGCTAGAATGGACAATAAATTAATGAGACAGCCAACAATGCCCACATTACATTAATGAATGAAAAGAAGAAAATCTTAGTGTAAGTTATTTTCTGGGATATCAATATCGCAATTTATAGTTTACTCTATCGCTGTTTCCCTCCTTTCCTGTGAATTAATAAAAATTAATGTGGATATCAGTTTGTGATGCTGATACGATTGAAGCCGAAACAAAATAAATGATTGAAAAGCGCTCCAAATGTATGTAATAGACACTCCGCGGAACTGATAATGTAGCTGAATTGCCGTAGAAGGTCTTTTCCCGTAGTACCTGGAGCGGGGCGGAAGTGGCCGGGAGGGAGCGGGTGGTAGCGGACAGTGGGGGCGGAAGTTGTGTGCGCGGTCAGACACAAGGGGGGAGGAGAGGAGAAAAGATGGCGGAGAGTTGGTAGAGCTTTGCACCAGGTAAACGCTGAGGGGGGGAGGGGGGGGGGGGGGGGGAAGGGAAACTGGAAGGAAAGGCACCTTACTTACAAGGGTGAGAGGAGCTCGGAAAGTAAGGTCTGAGGCTGACGGGGCATTGCGAAAGGATCGGTCGTGTCGGAGAAAAGTGTACGGGGGGGGGACTGCTGAAGGCGGGG